AGGTTGTAGAAAACAACCTAAGTTTAACGTTAACGTTTGAGTTTATTTGTGACAGGACAGGCACATAATCAAAATGTGACACTCTGGCTCTAGGACGTGGTATTGTGAGCGAGAGTGTATGTTGTTTGTTGGAGATTTGGGTGTTTTTCTAGGTTGGTCGTCGGTGGGTGTATTTCATATGCTGCAGGTATGGTGTTGTATTCTTATGTTGTATGTTTGTCGTCGACGACTCCCAATCGGAAGGTCCCGGGAGGGGTTGGTTAACCGAGTGTCAGGCTGTCGGCTCGTTATCTATGATTGGGAGCCAGATTTAAACTGTCAGTTAGTTTTCACCTGGTGTTTGGGGTTTTTGTTCCGTTGTTACATGTTCCGGGTGTCAGTTATTGTTTGTAACTTGAGACTTCACGTATCGTCTTTTGTTTTGTTTCGGATACGGGTATTTAATAAATATCATGTTCATGCAACGCTGCGGCATGGTTCTCCTGTTGTAGACGATGTGACAGAAAAAAACACATCAAAGGACCAAGCATGCGCGGTCAGGAGCAAGGGTCTGGACATGGGAGGGAACTGTTGGACGGTAAAAGGGTCCTGGATTGGGAGGAGATCCTAGATGGTATGGTCGCCGACCATGGAACGAGACGGTGTGATGAGAGAGAGAGGCGACGGCGACAGGGAGGAGGAGACAAGAGCAACGGCATCAGCCGGGCCATCATCGTCGGAAGGAGAGAGGCAACCCCAAGAAATTTTTGGGGGGGGCATATGGCTGGGCACGGCGAGAAGCAGGACGGGGCACAAGCACGAGTTCAGAGGGCTGCAGGTTACGGGGGCTGGCGGAGGAGAGAAGAGGACGGATTCAGGGGCTACCAGGTCAAGGGGGCTACTGGGTAACGCAGGGGAAGGAAAGTGTTGAGGCACGGAGTGAGGGTACTGGGGTGTGTGTGAACCAGTTCGGCCGGCCCCGTTCAGCAGTCCCGAGGTTGCAGACAGTAGTGTGTGTTCCCCGTACGGTTCGGCCTGTTCCGGTCCTGCAATAAGTGTAACGGTGCGCGTCGCCAGCCCGGGTCGACCCCTGATCCTGCCCCACACGCACCAAGTGTAAGGTGAGGCGTCCGCAGCACAGCCGGCATGTTAAGGCACCTCGCACTAAGTGTACGGTGCGGTGCCAGACACGGTTCGGCCTTGTCCCTGCCATACGCACCAAGGTGTACGGTGAGCGTCGCCAGCCCAGCCCGGCCTGTCCCTGCGCCACGAGGATGCCATACGGGTACTGTTGCGTCGTCAGACCAGCCCGGCCTGTCCCTGCGCACGTAGGATGCCTACGGTGTGCGTCGCCAGCAGCGGTCGGTTCCTGTGCCACGTAGGAAGCCTCGGTGTTTGCGTCGTCGCCGCACCGGGACGGCCTGTACCTGCGCCTCCGCACTAAGCCTCTGTGTGTCCCCAGAGTCCCTGTGGTCCGTTGTTTCTCCCGAACTAGCCTGAGAGGCGTTGTCCTAGCCCTTTGGTACCCCGTTCGTTACAAGGTGACCACGCCTCAGGCCTTTGGTCGCCTTCAGATGGCCAGAGTCTGCCATCTTGCCCAACGGCGCTTCTGCCTGAATGGCCGTGCACAACGGTCCCGCCTGAACTGACTCGTCTGCCCAACGGCGCCTGAACTTCTGTCTTGCCCAACGCATATGAATGTCCGTTGCCAAGCGCTGGCATAAGACGCCAGTCTGCATGAGCCTTCAGAGCCGTTCTCCGCCAGACCGGAGCGTAGAGGCCTCCTTCCCCCGAAGGATAAGCCAGAGCCTGCCGCAGACGGAATCAGGCCAGGGGCCTCCGCCAGACAGGATCGCCAGAGCCTTCGGCCAGACAGGATCAGCCAGAGCCTTCTGCCAGGACGGGATCAGCCAGAGGGCCTTCAGACAGAACAGGATCAACAGAGCCTCCTTCAGCCAGGCCATGGCCAAGCCAGTCCGTCTCAGCAACAAGGAGCAGCCAGATCCGTTCAGCCAGCCATGAGAGCAGCAGATCCGTCAAGCAGCCATGCGCAAGCCAGATCCGTCAGGCCAGAGCAGCCAGATCCGTCAGCCAGCCATGAGCGGCCAGATCGTCAGCCAGCATGAGCCGCAGCCAGATCGTCAGCAGCCATGCGCCTCCAGCCAGGCTCGCCAGACGTCCATGGGCTCCGCCCAGAGCGTCCAGCCGGGATCCGCCAGAGCCGTCCAGCCGGGATGCCGCGGTTCAGCGGGATCCGCCAGAGGCCGTCAGCCGGGATCGCCAGCGACGTCCAGCGGATATGCCAGCGGTCCCGCGGGATCGCCCCAGAGGTCCAGGGGGATCGCAGAGCCCGTCCCGACCACCTGGGGTGCAGCCGCCAGGTCCGCCAGAGCCAGCCAGCAGGATCGCCTTTAGTCCGGTGTGCCTTACGCTCGGGGTGTGTGATCCGATCTGGTGCTGCTGCCCATTCCTCCGGTCTTCCCACGCTGGGCATTCCCGAGAAGAGCCGCGGGAAGCGCCAGGGGTTCGGAAGAAAGGGGATGAAGGGCGCGTGGGAGACCCGAAGAAAACAGAGTGAAGGACATCGTCAAAGCCGTAGCAGAGGGGGTAGCGAATTGGACCCTTAGCCCGGTAAAACAGAAAAGCAGACGAAAGCCGGGGGGGTCCGGCCACTTAGTACGGGTATGACCCCACTAGTAGAACGAGTCGGTAGGGGAAAGACAGAGAGAGAGCCAAGGGAAAAATGGTACGTGCCCCTTTAGGGGGGGGGTATTTTGTTTTTTTTTTTCAAGGTGCTGATGGCCTACCGCTAAAGAAAGTATCAACAAGATGGTGACGCCCTTAACCCCAGTAGGGGTTTAGTTCGGGAGGGGGGTTAAGTGTGGAGCGAAGCGAGGGCCGCTGGTGATAAGGTGGGAAGCTTAACAAAAACCGCGAGCAAACACGCCGACGGGGACATCTCGGGGGGTGGAGGGCATACCAACGCGACCTCAGGGGACGAAGAAGAACTGGAACAGCCAGGAAGCTCGGATGGAAAACGAAGAGAGCGCACGACCCCGCGAACCTCAAAACATCCGAGGCAGAGAAATGCTGAGCGTTCGTGGTGGGACGAAGCCAGCAGGACGAGACGATTGCGAGCAGCAATCCTTCAGGAGGGGGGTGTGTAGGAGATGTGGGACCTTGGGCCTCGTATAGGAATTTGGTCGGATGAGATGAAGAGTGATCCCCCCTATGTGTGTGTTGGGGATTGGGTGTTTTTTCTCTGTTGGTAGTTGTTGGGTGGATTTTATTGTCTGCGGTCTGGTTGGTGGTTGTATTTCTATGTTGTAGTTGTCGTCGAAATTATGACTCCCAATCTGAGAGGTTTCCGAGGTAACGAGTATGTCAGCTGTCGGCTCGTATCTCTGATTGGGAAGCATTATTTAAACTTGTCAGTTTTCACCTTGGGTTGTGGGTTTTTTTCCTGTTACAGTCGTTGTGTCAGTATTTGTAAACTTGAGGACTCACGTATGTATTTTGTTTGTTTTCGTGTGAGTACGTTTTTATAAAATCAATAGGATATTACACAATGACGAACACGACGGCCGAAACCTTGGTCTTCCTGTTCGCTAGAGCAGGAATAGCTGAGAGGCGTATAATGCAAACAGTTTCACGAGAAAAAGGTGAAGAAAAGGTGGCCAGAGACGTCTCTCCATAGCCAAGCCGGCTCTATTGTGCAACCGGCCATAGTCCTGGGCAGGTTATTTAAAAAACAATTACAAATAGATAATACAAACATAGAACAAGACATTATCATACCGAAAATAGCAACATAGGACAAACAAGCGTAGCATACAGACCGAGCAACAGAGAAAAAAAGCAACAAGACAAATTCATACAAAACGCAACAAAGTGGTTCCCACACCTCACAAGTTACAGACAACAGACATGGAAAGCGCGCAACACACGCTAGGGGACCATGTTCAACAAATTTGATTGAACTTTAGCCATGTCTCTTCACGCATTTGAGAAAGGGGATATGTGTGCAGGTATGTGTGTCTGATGGCAGTGTATTCCAGGATGGGAAAGCTCCAAGAAAAGCGGATTTCTAAAGGGCTTTTTTAGGGGAACTAACAGTTACCTCTCATGGCAGACTTCGGTGGATTCTGCGGCCATATGTTTGGGTTTTCTTGTTGAACAAAAATACTGAGTGGAGTGGGGAGCCAAGCCATTTAGGTCTTGAATAAAGGACTGAATCGGTGTATTGCACACGATTTTCCCAACTCAGGAGCTCATGCTTTCTAAGGATGTGACGTGATGAGGCTATTGGGCTTCATATCAAGCACTTTGAGAGCTCGTTTGTAGACAGCTGCTAGGTCTTAATGTGGTACAGAAGCTGGGCCCAACTAGTCAAGCAGTATGATTAAGTAGGGGGCGTATCATAGATCTTGAGTACAGTTTTGCTACCTCTGTGGTTCAAACAATTCGTACTTATAAATCGGCAATTAGCTAGGTTTGGAATTTGGTTATGGAATTACCTTTTTCACATGCTTTTAAAAGAGAGGTGGAATTCAAGTATGATGCCAAGGTACTTAAAATCAGATAACCCCTGGCGCTTCTCCCCTGACCATAGACTTTCTGGCTCCGTCGCATCGTTGCCCACTTTGTGAAGAACATGCAAACAGTTTTTTCACATGGAAAGATGCCAAAACGAGTCACTGGAGCCACTGTAACTGGACCATTACAGAGTGATTATTGTGCGCCTCGTTTGTTTGCTTTGAATGCCATACAATCACTGTTATCGCATACATTTGAATCAGACCAGACAGACAGAAGGCAGATCAGTAATGTAAAGGTGAACAGGAGGGGGCCCCAGTTATGACTTATGATGGAGGGTTATAACCAACTTAGTATACGGGTTTTAAAA